GGGTGCCTCCAATATACTCCTACACTTCCCCTTTTGCTCAAGAGAAGGAAAAGAGCAAGTCTATGCTCTTCTACTTGGAGGAATAGAGGAAAACATAGAGATATTTCCCTCTTTTGGTCCATGAGAGAAGAAAACAACAGTAAGGGAACACATGCTGGTTCGGTTGGCCCTCTTCTTCCCTCCGGCTGGACTGGTTCGATCTCAGGATAAGGTCGACAGCTAGGTAGGGCCGCATGCAAGAGGGCCTCCGCTCCGCCTCCCTTCTTCTACTCTCGCTCTCTTGCTTCACCTGGGACAGACGAACCACACTAGAGAACATCTGCACCCCCCTTCTCCCGCTCTCGCCCTCCTCTTGCTTCGTCTGGGACGAACGAACCAAATAGGAGAGCCGATGGCTCTCCCTCTCCTTTCCATGCTCTTGGAGAGCATAAGCAGCACGTGTGCCACCCAAAATACCCAATCCCGCTTCTCCTTTGCGCGAAACAAAGGGTTTCATGTGAAATTGGGTGGGATTTTACGTGAAATCTCAGCCCTTGATTGAAAAATCTGATTTGGAAACTTGATTTAGCCCAAATAAGTCAATTGGGGCTGAAATTGAGCCCAAATTGGACCCGACTCAAACCGATTTGGGTCGGTTTGGGTCCGATTGGGTCCGATCAAGTTAATTTTACAAAATTAGGCTTGAATTGACGTTGAATTGCATCGAATTTGAATCGACGATGCTCGACGGGGTTCGATTTAGATTGATTTGATTTTAATTAAATTTAAATTAATATAATTTAATTAAATCAGGGTTTGATTTGGGTCGATTTCCCTTCGACAACGATCGATCGAATTGAGCGAGTGTGATCGAGTCCAATCGGGTTCGATCAGGGCCGGTTCGATACAAAAATATTCATGTACATATTCCTTTTTTTTTAGCCAAATGCTATAAGTTCTCTGCAAGACAAATTTTATTGACCTATAATTCTAAAAAGAAAGACTTTACATAGCCATCTTAGTCCATTTAAATTCTAAGAATAAGGGAATTGTCATTCTAATCAGCTCAGAACTTTACTTTTTTTCAAGAAACGTAAAGACAATCCTCCGAAGAAGAAATAGCCTTTCTATTGATCATGGGTAAATTTTACAGGATTAAATCAGTATTAAAACTTTAAGAAAATTAATTTAGAATAACATTGGCAGTTCACTCGATCGAGACTAACAAGAGTTCCTGCAGATAAACTAACTGCTGTCCACGCAATCCCATGTTGAGCTTCGTCATTCAAAACTGCCTTATCAAGCTTCCATTCCAAGCAACGATGATGTGGACAGCAGCAGTTAATCTGTTATAAATCAGTGGGAATGACTGAGTTATCAATGTTGTTATTTTTTATAGTATAATACATTAATACTGATGTAATCCTATAAAAAAAAATTCATGATGAATAAAGAAGCTATTTCCCGTGACTCCCTCTTCTTCTCTAGAGTACGTATTTCGAAAGATATAGTTCCTATAATACTTCCCCTATCATGAAATAAGGATCATATCAAACTGGATTACAGTGGTAGATATCATCAAATAAGGATCATATCAACTGGATTACAGTGGTAGATTCGGGTTTCAGGAGAGGCATCTCCACATCTTCTAAAACACGAGGTAGTCAGTTTGCCATTATATTTATTTCCTTGTTTCATTTACGTTGTAACCCAAGATCGTAACAACTACCCAGTATGGCAAACCTAGTCGATGAAAATACTCTTGTTCTTTAAACAAATGTTTCCTCACTCTGAGATACTTTCTTAATATTTTTATGCTTGAAAAACAGCTAGGCTGAACTTAACGCCACTTTTTTTTTTCCTAAATGAATACTTAATTCGTTATTACTTGAAAACATGCTACTTTCTTCATATACAAAACCAACCACAAGCCTATATATCACTATGTGGGATCGGCTTCATAAATCTTTTTTCTCCATTATATCCTATTAAGAGTAAAATTCCATCTAAATCTAATAAAGAAATGTCATTTCAAATATTTTCTGACCAAGTCTTTTTAGGTCTACCTCTATCTTTCTTAAAACACTCTCTCTAATCTTATCTTCTACTGGAGCTACTCCAACCTTTTCACGTATATGCTCATTTCGTATCCTATCTCTAAGGGTCAATCCACTCATCCACCTAAGCATCCTCATCTCTGCAACACTTAACTTAGTATTATGCTTCTCTTTTAATGGAAAACATTCGGCACCATAAAGCATTGCATCTTATAGAATTTTCCCTTAAGTTTGAGGGGGACTTTTCTATCGCACAATAAGCTCGATGCATTCCTCTATTTCAACCATCCAACTTAAATTCTACTAATAATATCCCCATCAATTTCACCATTACTCTGAACAATAAACCCAATATATCTAAAACATGTACTCTTATTAATGACTTGATCGCCCAAAATCACTATCTCCCCACTAAATATATTATTACTAAAATTACACTCCATATATTAAATTTTAGATCTACTCAAACGAAAGCCTTTAGACTCTAAGGATGACCTCCATAATTCAAGTTTACCTTCAACTCCCTCTTTAGTCTTATCAACAAGAAGAATATCATCAGCAAAAAGCACCCACTAAGGTAAATCCTCTTGCAAATGTCTAGTGAGAGCATCCATGACAAAAGCAAAAAAGATAAGGGCTTAAGGTTGATCCTTGATGTAATCCAATTGAAATAGGAAAATACTAGGACAAATCACCTTGTGTTTGAACACAAGTAACAGCTCCTTCATACATATCCATAATGATTTGAATATAAGCGTCATTAACTCCTTTCTTTTCAAGAACTCTCCATAGCACTTCTCTTAGAACTTTAACATATGCTTTCTTTAAATTAATAAAAATCATAAGTAGATCATCCTTATTATCGCTATACTTCTCCATCAAACCTCTCAATAAATGTATAGCTTCCATAGTAGACTTACCTGGCATGAATCCAAATTGATTTTGAAAAACATTAATGTCACGCCGCAACCTATGCTCCATAACTCTCTCCCATAGTTTTAAAGTATGACACATTAAATTAATTCCTCTATAATTCGAACAATCTTGCGCATCACCTTTATTCTTAAAAATATAAATAAACGCACTCATTCTCCATTCATCTAGCATCTTTTTAGTCTTTAAAATAATATTAAAAAGTTTAATAAGCCAAGAAATTCCTTCCATCTCTTAAGCATTCCCACACCTCTATTTGAATATCATTAGGTCCAATAGCTTTTCCACACTTTATTTTCTTTAAAGCCTCTTTTACTTTGGTTTAACATTACACTGATAAAAATTAAAAAAAAATTATTTTTATTTAGGGTTTTTATTTAGGATGCTAAGGTCAATAAAGTCAATTGCATTATCATACTCTTCATTAAAAAGTTTAGTAAAATATCTCATCCACCTTTGTTGAATATCATTTTTTAATAAAAGTACTTTTTGATCTTCATCCTTAATACACTTCATTTGAACTAAATCTTTACTACTCTTATCTCTTTATTTAGCTAACTTATACATATATCTTATGCCCTCCTTAGTATCTAATCCATTATAAAAATCATTAAAAGATAATCTTTGCATTCCAAATTGCTTTCTTAAAATCGTTACGGACATCTTTATATATTTCTCAATTATCAGAATTTTTATATCTAAACCAATTTTTATATAAATCTTATTATTTTTTATCTTTTTTTGCACATTTTAATTCCACCACCAATTATTTTTACTATTAGTAGCTTTTCCCTTTGATACTTCAAAAACATCTTTTACAACATTATTAATATCACTAGCTTTTTTTTTCACATAACATTAGGTTCCTCATGCATAGAAAAAATCTTAAAATCTAGAATCTTACTCACAAAAATATTTTTGTTAATATTATTTAAATGCCCCCATCTAATTCTAAAATAATGATTTACTTTATCTGTTATTTTATACCCTTTCATCTTAAAGTCAAAAACTAATAAGAGATGTTGGGTACATAAATTTTCACTCGGAATAATTTTACAATCATTGCAATCTAAAAGTTATATTTTTTTTATAAGAAAATAACAATCTGAGTTTTACTATAACCATTCTTATAAGTGATATGATGCTCATTTTTTTTCTTAAACAAGGCATTAGCAATTACAAAATCATAAGTTAAAGAAAAATTTAATATAGTCTTACCATCTTGTAGGTTATTCCAAAATTTTAATTTCAAACACATATCCAAACCTACTTGAGGATCATAAATGCTTATAATATTAACAATATTAGCATCAACAATATTTAAAGTTATAATTTTATCTCTAATTTTATTGGTTTTTACAATATTACCCTACAAACTCTTATGTATAATCACACCTACACCATTTCTAGTACGACTTCTACCATAATACCATAATTTAAATCATAACCTTCTCTCCAACCATTTATTTTTCTGAATGCAAAGAATATTTATCTTCCTATGGATCATAATATCTATTAATTCCATTAACTTACCTATAAGGGAACCTATATTCCAAGTTTTTATCCTAATTGTAGTTTCATGGATTAGTTTCTTTCTCACATTCACATCCGTCCATGATGTGGGAACCCTTTCCTATTTAATATTGCACCCGAGGGCCAGTGCAGCAGCCCTTGCTCACTTGTCATTATATTTAGGTCATACAGCACGTCGCTTCGAAGGAACGTCCTAGCATTAACATAATATATTAAAGGATTCATGTCATGATTATTCGACAAGTTTTATATTAGTTGTCGACTATTTAACGCAACCCTCCACGTTTCTCATCCAGAACTTAGGACCTGACAACTAAAGTTCATTATTCGACAAGTTACTTTCATCATATGATTGAATGAAATATTCAGGTTCCATATATATACTAATTAGAAGATATCTTAATTCATAATGCTAAAGCTGAAAATTTTAACCAGCATTGTTAAGCTTCTGAAGTCAACCTACGAGATACCAACATACACTACCCAGAGCAGGAACGATAATAGGAGCAGTCATAGAAGATTTCAATTACCAACCAATGCTTTATGACCATTAAAACAGGAGAGAAGGAAAGAGATAAAGAAAGAATAAAATTGCCATAAGAAGCTGGATTTTCTTTTGTCAAGAAAAAGAAGAGCAAACCTTAGTGTCAGCTTTGCTCATGGAAGAACTTTCTATGGGATTTGTTTCAAAAGAGATGGTACATGATTCAGCAAACTCTCTTAGCAGTTTACTCCCCGTAGTGATACATATATGCCTTGGAGTCCAGGTGCCAAGGATTCCAATAGGACATAACGAGCTGTAACCAGATTTTGAAGCTTCTGCTTTTTCATATGAGCTTCCGAGGGCAGGCAGTTCATTTGATGGATTCTGTAAGGTATTTTCATCATTCACTGTTTTGGCAACTTCTACTGAAGTCCCCTGATGGTAAGGATGTTTAATCTTTTTGGTCTCATCAACCATTTTCTTTAAAGGAATATATTTGTCCCCAAGATTTTGTTCTTCATCGCCATTTTCATTAATGTCAACAGTTTCAGTCTTTCTGTTGACTCCTTTAAAGGAAGTTGCATCTACATGATAAGGCCAGTTCCTACTCTTATACTTCTTAGCAGCTGCTCCGTGTTCAGCACTTGAAATCTGATCATTTGAAGGACTCTGCATATTTTGATCACTCACTGTTCTTGCAACTTCTCCTAAAGACCCCTGCTGGCAAGGATCGATCTTTCCCAAGTCATCAAATACTTTGTTTAAAGGAAGAGACTTGTCCCGAAAATTTCGTTCTTCATTATTGTTTTTGTAAGCATCCACGATATTGATCTTTCTGTTGACTCCTTTAGAGGAAGTTGCATTTCCATCACCAGCCATATCTGTAGTATTGTACCTCTTAGCAGCTCTACTGTGTTGAGCACCAGCAGGCCCCAGTTCCACACTACTTTGCCGCAAAGGCCTTGCCTTGAAAGTTCCAGATGCTGCATTGGAAGCCAAGCCGGCACCTCCCCTTCGCATAAAATTTATGTTTTCCACCTCTCTAACAGTTTCAAATTTTCTTATTATTCCTATGATGGAAGGAACTTCGTCAACATTGACAGAAACCAAATCTTTTATTTCAGAGGAAGTTCCTGCACCAAAGCTGGTAGATTTTCCAGAACCAATTGTTTTATGACCATTATCAAATGTCATATAATTAGCACATTCTGCAGAATACGGAGGTTCTGCATCAGAGATTGTGTTCTTTGTTACTCTAATCTCCTGGGTTCCTATATCTAACATGTGGATCTCGTCATCACATATGAGATCTTTGTTTCCTAGAGTTTCATAATGCATTGCAGGAATAGCATTTTGTGTCTCCTTGAGAAGAAATGGTTCTTTTACAGGCTTTGATTTTCCTGGTAAACTGATTTCAGAGAGCATCCCTACTGAAAATGACTTTGACATGGTTTGGGGAAAGTTTAAATTACTAACTTCTCCTCGTATGACTGCGTTTCTGGGAAAGCCTACCATGCCAATCCTGCTAGCAGGAAACTTCCCACTTTGACCAAAATAAGGTTCAACTATCTACAAGAAATTTAGAATTGTCACAGAAAAAACTATGAGTTATAAAGGTGACAAAAACTACATCAGAATTTTTTTATAATGAAAATTTTCAGATAATAGGAACTTATGATGCAGAACAACGTATTCAAATTAAAGAAAACTTTAATTTCGAATTAGAATTTTCAAATTTTTAAATTTAAGATTCAAAAGTTGGGTTATTTAGTTATAGAAAATTTTGTGAGGAGTTCGTTGTGAGGAAGCATATCACAAACATCAATTCAAGTGACCAATTCTTCACCATACAAGTAACTGATATGTACAACTCTCAACAAGCAGACTACAATACTGTCACTTTTTCAAGCTAGCACCATTTGGACCTTTAGGTTTGTTGATGCTTCTTAAAACTAAGGACAGGGATCAATCCGACTGAGAGTATAGAATTATTCAGAAGAAGGTTATCTCTATCCTTTATTTCAGTTAAATGGTGAGCATCCTGTAGCAACGAAGGCTCCTTTATTTCAGTTGAATGATGAGCATCCTATAGTAACAAAGGCTCAAAGCTTTGCCCATAAGCATGGAGCGAAGAGTTCCTTGATGCAACTCTATATTCATTATTGATCTCATTGTTGGCATGCATCTTCCTCGAACTCATCTCTACACCCATAGATTAGTCATCTATCGATCATGATTGTTGGTGGCCTTAAAAGCCATCAATTGAGTCCGATTCACGTGTTCTTTGCTTGACTACACATAAAAATATGTTCGAGTCACCAATGATCACCAAGATTCGTCGTTGTGCTTGAAATTTGATTTCGTAAGTCACATTGTATCCCATCATCATGTTTAGAAATGCATGCAACGATGATTCATCAAAGTGTTAACATGGTTTAGTGTGCGTGAAGTTTCATTGTATGAAATTTTCACCTCCGCAAAATTTTACATTAAGGCTTTGTCTAGCGAAATGGACTGAGCAAGCGAGTCTGGATCATTGAGGCAGTTCAAACAAGCTTGTCTACATCCAAATTGATTTCATTTTAAGTGCATCAGGATTTATGAGGATTCTTATTTATAACATCTATATTATAAAGTTTTAATCTCTCTCCTGTCTCCTTTTCACCCTTTCCCTCTCTTCCATCCCTTATTTGATGGCCGCCATCTTTTGGGTTCCCAAAACATATCTAGAGTCAAAATCTTAAAAAAGGTATATCAACACTTAGTGCCTTGGATCCTACATCAAATCAAACAAAAATAAACATAAAAAATAAAAATTTAACATATGAGAAAAAAAAAATACTAGCCTTTTCCCTCTCAAACTCACGCAAGCCCCCCTTCCTCTCATTTAAGTATGCAGGCAAACCTCCACACCATCGTGTGACCCACAAATGCTTCTCCCACTAGCGACTCCCACGCTCGACCTGCAGCCTACAATTAACTGCTGCCAACAAGCCTCACACACCTACTACTGCCCTTTCCTCCTATATTTTGTGAAGTTTCAGATTCTGACCAAAAAAAAAATTCAATATAGTTAAGTTTCATTAACTTCTTTCAATGCTTTGATTTTCATCCAAGAATCATATTTTGATGATGATGGCTTGATAGTATTTATATAACTAGCAACTATAACTCATCTGGCACACTAAAGCCTTGTTTCGTTGGCATGTTATTCTTGTAAAAATTTGTTTAAAGCCTCATTAGGTTGGGCGTTTTTAAAGTGTTTCAGTTGTAGAACAATAAAATAAATAAATTTTAATTGCTTGGAAGATTTGCTTTTATGAAACACGTTATTAATAACTCCATTATCCGATGAAACGGGATAGATATTTTGCAAACATATTCCGCGAGCAGTACACGTTTTACATTTGCGAGAAGTTCATTTTACCCCCACACGTCTGCACGAAGCCTTACAGCGTTGTTTTGATCATCTTCTTCGCCAAGACGCCTTCGAGCAAAAGATTTGGACAAAATATCACATCTCCTCAGCTCATGCCCACAAAGTGCGAGCAAGAACAATCTGCGCAACTGTATTTTCATCTTTGTGCCTAGAATTTTTATCCTTCGAACCTAAAAAATCTTGAACAAACACCAACCACATCCCTTGGTTCTTTTCCTTGCCTTCACATCTTCTACCAAAACGAATTCTACGAGATACCTCTTCGCACCTTGATTCCATAGTCGGGAGGAAGAATCATATTTTCAGCTTCTTCCAGGTGCCATGACTCCACAACTTCTTCAATGTATTGTGACCTATGATGCACCGACACGGCACTTAAAGAGGGTATGCAGTGTCGGACACGTGTCGTACACGGACACGCGTCGGACATGTGTCGTACACAAACACGCGTCGGACACGGCATGGACACGTGTCCGACACGTCATTGGAGTGTCGTGTGGGCTCCGAAAATTCGGCCCTGGCCTCCGCCCGCTTTTCTTTTTATTCGGCGAGGGAGTTTTAACTGAATAAGTTCCGGGGTAAATTTTGGAAGGCAGATGGGTTTGTAGATAAGACACTACCCAGAGATTTCGCCCTCATTTTGCGAGGACTTTATGATCTGAGTTCTGGTTTCCTATAAGCGCAAGCCCATATAGTTAATTACCCCTCCCAATCACGAGAGAGAACTTTCGATTAAGGCTAGTCGTCAATCAAATACGTAGAAATATGTGTTATCTGGCATATAGTAGCAGCATAGGTTGGATTTGGAAATTGGGTCTGAATTTGGAAAGGTTTGAAAAGTTTAATATTTAAAATAGAAAATTTCACCACCTGGCACTTAAAATGGATGGTGGGGGAATGGATGATAGACCCGATCAAGATCCCATGGTTCCGTCGTCCCGAGCCATCGTGAACCCTGGTCTACTTAGTCAGAGGAGGTAGTCGACCCAACCTGACAGAAGGATCCTTGTCGGCAGCCATGGGTTGCTTCGTCCAAGGAGATCTTGTAGACCTGGGATGAGTATTTGTTTAAGGGGACAAATTTAAATCCACCTTAGCTAACAAAGGGCTTTGTTCCCTATCAATCATATCCTATTGATTCATATCTCAAGGATTTGATGCCATTAAGGAGCGTATTGGCTCTGGCCATAATCGGTATTTTGTGGTGCCATTTGGCGGCAAAATCACTCGGTTTAGAGGGCCCCGGGTCATAACCGTTTATCATGCGGTGCCATTTGGCGGCGAACCGCCGGTTAGAGGACACGTACCACGTCCTTACTGGCAGGAGATTGTTTGAGAATGGATCCTAGTGACATTGTCGACTAGGCATTAACTATTTGTGAGCTGAAGTTATATTTAAATTTGTCCACCTCAACAAACTATTGCGGATGGTGGATGGATTTTACTTTAAGTGTTAATGAATTTATTTCAATTTTAAATATTTTGGGTGTTTGGGATTTTTGTGGAGTTTTTGGATTTTTATGGGTATTTTAGATGGAGCTTTAGAATATTTGAAATGAATTTTGGATATTTGGGAGACATTTGAAAATATTTGAGAACCCCTCCAGTTGAGATCTGCATTCAACACGGCCATCATCGGGGTGTTTAGGGGCATTTCCATTTGTAGTTTGAACCTTGTCAACTATGTCTGGATGTCGATAGAGGATCGGGTTTCGTAGATTTTATGCCTTTTTTAGTGAATTTTTATTGTTATAGGCTTTGAAGGCCTAATATGAATTTATTAGAACAAATATTCTGGTCGTCACGGACACATATTTGTTTGTTGGTTCGAACCTTGTAGACTCCTATTGATCTGTATAAAAGGATCGGGTTCGAACTTGAATTCAGTTATTGACCTGCGCAGCATCCCTAGACGTCACGTGTACCAATAACACGCTCGCCGGGGCCCATGCGGGTGTTGGGGGGTATTTTATAATTAAACCCTGTCGACTCCTTTTTACCTGCTAAGGAATATCGGGTTTAAACTTTGATAACCCGCGCAGCATCCCTAGACGTCACGTGTGTACCAATAACACGCTCGCCGGGGCCCATACAGGTTTTATGGTTGCATTTACCACTTTTAGTGTACCTATGTGTATACAAACTACGGTGCACATGTGGGGGTATTCTTGGAATAATTGTGAAACGCCTTCTGTCCGCTTCCAAGAACGTTGCAGATCCGGTGGCGTGGCGTAGAAGCTTCTGAATTTAGTGGTTCGCTGCTTTATACAGGTAGACTGTCGTGCATTACTTATTGCTTTCTGCAGGTGGATTATAGTGCACTAACTAATCTCCTGCCTTGTACTTGTAGATGCTCGTAGATAGCTTGTTGTATGCACGATGAATTTTCCACTATAACTTATAAGAACTTACACTTGACATAGTTACTTTGAATCTTGCTCATGGACAATGGACTGGTGTACTACGAGTCTTCTACAGTGGCTCATGGATACTTGCATTTGTTATAGTCATCTTGCATGTTCGTAGATGATATGTGATATTTATAGCGGGGCTCTAACAGAAGCTCATGGGAGATTGTATCTGTCGTATTCTTTATACACTTTGTTGTGGTATTTGACTCATATAGTACATCCGTCATTGCTATAGGTAGGCAGGTAGATATACTCCATAGATTGAAATTAACTTCAGGATACTGCACTTACTGAAGTCTTTCTGCATCTACCCATCAATGACTTACACTTACATTTATTTTCGTAGAGAGATTGTATGTGTTGAAGATCTTTTAACATTATTTGCATGCAGATCAGTTATCACTCTACAAGGTATTTTAGGTCATGATCTTGTAACCACAACATATCTTTCAACATCTTCTTGTTATTTGTAAGCACGTCGCACTTGCAAGTCCCTTATCTTCAAAGGTGGTTTATTTGAATGATTTAAACCATGATTTGAAATTTGTTTGCTTGCATGAGATTCAATGGATCACCCTCTTTGATTAGCATTTGCAATTCCTTCCTCATTATATCTTCTTGGAATTGAATTGTTGTTGATAAGAGATATGACATTGTGTTCCTTGTAGCTCCTTTGATGTCTCTTGTAGTATGTTGCATGCATTTCTACATTTATAATG